ACACTGTAGAGTGGCTTAAACATGCATGTTATTGTCAACTAATAATTTTCCATTTCCTGTTTCTTGTACGTACACACACACACACACACACACACACACACACACATTATATATATACAAACCCCACTATTTCTCTCCTTCTGCCATTTCCCATCCTCTCCCACCCATCTCTGGTTTCTGCAGTTTCTTTTCATTCTTTTATTCTTTCCCACATTGTATTGATTCACAAAATACCTTAATTAATCTAAATACTTTCTATGGTAAGTTCACCTGATGTATACATATCTGTGAATAAAAGTTGACTTTAGGCATGAAACTCTGTGGATAGAATGAATATACTATAAAATAGCACATAGCTGAGCCTATATAGCTTACCAAATAGGTATTTTTAAATACACTTTCTAATTTCAAGAAAGAGAGTTTTAACTTTAATAAATCAAAATAAAAAATGTTAAGAGAACTTTGCTTAATACTTAAAGCCAGGGAACAGGTTAGGATTCTGTTTGAATAGTAGGTACATAGGCCTATCCACAACTTAAGAAAAGACAAACTCCTTAACACTGGAAAACAAAGCAGGTCAGTGATGTTTTAGTCGAAAGTCATAAAATTCTATTTCGCCCGTTCAAGCTCATGTACTTAATCTTCTGCTGTGGTCCGATCTTTCCATTTAAATTCAGAAGGTAACATTCAACTCTGTGCTTGTCCCTACCATTAAGCTGGCCTTTTTCTTAGCTGTTTAACAACTCTTAGGTCTGTGTGTCTGACTTTAGTTTTCCTGGGATAGCACTCCCTTCAGAACTTCTTGGAGAGCTGGTCTGGCATTTGTAAATTCTTTCAGGTTTTGTTTATCTGAAAATGCTCTTGTCTTCTCTTCCCATATGAAGGATCATCTTGCCTGGTATAGTATTCTTGGTTGAAATTGTTTTTTCACTCAACATGTTGAATATATTATCTCACTCTTTCTTTGCTCGCATTGTTTCCGATGAGAGGTCTGCTGTTAGCCTGATGGGATATTTGTTGCAGGTAACATGATGTTTCTCTCTTGCCAGTCTGTGTATCTTGTCTTTGTCAGTGGTTTTGTCTGTGACTGAATTTGGTGTTCCCTGGCCAGGTTTTTTTGTTTGTTGTTGTTGCAGTCTATTCCACAGTTTGGATTTTTTCCTTTTCTTTATCAGCAAAAGTGTCATGCATTTTAGATATTATATGAGTCTGGTTTTCATACTGGATTTGCACTGGTTTACCATAAAAAGAAAATCCGTGTAACTGTCTCAAAGCATTCATGGATGAGCCCAGTTCCTTAAATATAACAAAGGCATGCCTGGTCATCTTCATGGTCTTTAAAGCTACAATATCTACCACAAGAGCAAATTGAAAAAACAGGGCATACAGGGAGCTCTTCAATTCTTCTATTTTAATTTGGCCATTCATATTATTGATATAAATTGTATAATTTGGTCAGATATCCATGTCTGGGTTAGATTCTTCAAATAGCCAAGAGACAGTAAATAATCTGAGGCCTATTTGTCTCCCCCCTGTATTTGACTTTTTTTAAAGATTTTTTTAAGAATTATTTTTATTTACCTTTATTTCTCCATTTGTTTATTTATTTATTTTCACTTTTTCATTTTATTTCTTTTTTTAAAGAATTATTTTATTTAACTTATTTATTTATTTATTTATCCAGAGAGAGAGGGAGGGAAAGTGAGAAAGTAAGCCACCAGGTTCAGGACTCAAACAATGGTTGGCCATGTGGGAGTCCAGCACCCTTAATCACCATGCAACCTGCTGGCCCCTCATTTTATTTCTTTTAACATTTTTCCACAAACATTTGCTTCACATATCAAAACATTTTTGCTGGGAACCAGCAGTTAGCGTAATGGCTATGTCGCTGGACTCCCACGTAGTCGACCGCCGTTCGTGTCCCGGTTAAAACTCACGCCGGGCGCGTGTGCGTGCGTGCCCAAGATCCCGAGAGGAGAATGGAGGAGAAGGGATTGCGGCGTGACCATCCCCCCTGGGGGGTGATTTCTCGCTTTCTGTCTCTATGTCTCTCTCTGTCTGTCTGGCGAGCGCACGCGCCCTACAGTGAAAATCTCTCCAAAACAAACAAACAAACAAACAAAAAAAACATTTTTGCTCATACTCCATAGTTTTTCTTTTTTTTTTTTTTTTTAAGAGATTTTTGCTATAGGGTGCGTGCGCTTGCCAGACAGACAGAGAGAAAAAGAGAGACAGAAAGTGAGAAATCACCGCAATCCCTTCTCCATTCTCCTCTCGGGATCTTGGGCATGTGTGCACACACGCCCAACATCAGTTTTAAGCCACCAGACAGGACGCGAACCGCGGTTGACTACATGGGAGTCCAGCGACATAGCCATTACACTAACTGCTGGTCCCACTCAATAGTTATTGACTATTAATAAACAAATTTCTAAATTTCAAAATACTGAATTTTAAAGATAATGTTGAAAATATTTCTTATAATTTTGTATAATCTTATTTGTGACTCTGTAACTACAGAAACAGTATGGTTTTAAATATTTTTGAGAAAATATTTACATGTCAGCTACTCAGATTGTTGAAAAGCAAATGTCCAGCACACAAGTCAGATATAAACCTTCTCAATTCAGCCCTGCCTACCAAGTGTTCTGTGATATACCATCTGCTAACAAAGATTGGTCTCTCTTTCTTCCTTCAACGTCTTTCTCGAGATAACCCTCTGGTTGCTTTTTTGCAATCTCTACTGATTACGATGCTCAGCTGGAAAAGTCCAGGTTATTTTATGTTATAAATGCTTTCATAAATCTTCTCTAATCCTCTTTGCTATTTTAATTTGACCAGAGAAGGATAGCATGAGAGAGAGAAAGAGCAAGCGAGAGAGCAAGCTGTTAGGTCAAAGTCTCCCACTGCAGTCAACCATGTGGGAGTCCAGTGCCCTTAACCACCACGCTACCTGCTGGTCCCCCATCTTTGACTTTTGATGGTTTGACCCTCATGTGCCTTATTGGTTGACTCTATTTGGTGCCTTTGTGTTTTCTGAGTCTGGGTGTCCGTGACTTCCCTAAGATTTGGGAAGGTGTTGTCTACTTTTTCATAAAATATGCTTTCTCTGTCCTTTCTGGTCTCCTCTTTTTCTGGAACTTCCTTAATGCAAATATTTGTGCCCTCTCTATTGTCTTACAGCCTTTCTTCATTCTTTTGATTTAAAAAAAAAATTGTTAGAGGATGCATGCCTCGCTAAAGAGAGGTGGAGAAAAAAGTAAAGAGAAACAGAGAGAGAGAGAAAGTGAAAAAGAGAAAAGAGAGGGTCATGGCCACACACATTTCTTCCCCATTTTTCCCTCTTTTAGGAACCCTAGGCATGCATGGACATGTGCTTAGCATGTTTCTCAAGCTGCCAGGTCAAGCACTTGAACCACACAATTGGCTATGTGAGAACCAGCTGCCTTAACTACCACACCAGAGACTGGCCCTCTTAATTCTTTTTCTTCTTTTTCTCCTCCTCTTCCTTTTTCTTTTTTCCCTTTATCTGATTGGGTTCTTTCAAAAGCTCAGGCTTAAAGTTTAGGGATTTTTGTCTACTGCTTGATCTAGCCTATTTTTGATGCTCTTTATTGTATCTGTTTTCCATTAACTTAACTTTTTTTTTTGGAGAGGTTTTTTTTTTTTTTCCGCTATAGGGCACGTGCGCTCGCCAGACAGACAGAGAGAGAAAGAGAGACAGAAAGCGAGAAATCACCCCCCAGGGAGGATGGTCACGCCGCAATCCCTTCTCCTTTATTCTCCTCTCGGGATCTTGGGCACGCACACACACACGCCCGGCGTGAGTTTTAAGCCACTGGGTCTGGGACGCGAACCGCGGTCGACTACGTGGGAGTCCAGTGACATAGCCATTACGCTAACTGCTGGTCCCTAACTTAACTTTTTTAAAGAGACTTTTTACTATAGGGTGTGTGTGCTCACCTGAGAAAAAGACAACAGAAAGCAAGAAATCACCCCCAGAGGGGATGACCATGCTGCAGTCCCTTTTCCTCCATTCTCTTCTCCGGATCTTGGACACACACGCATACATACTTGGCATGAGTTTTAAGCTGCTGAGTTCGGAACTTGAACCACAGTTGACTACTTGGGCATTTAGCGACGTAGCCATTACACCAACTGCTGATCCCTGTTTATTGAATTTTTTATCTCCAGGATTGCCGTTTGGTTTCTCTTTTAAAAAACTTTATTTACTAATTTCTTCTATTAATGAGACAAAGAGAGAAGACTCCCAACAGGGCTTTGCACTCTATATACTCCAGCGTTAGCCATCCTAGATTATGGGCATATCTCATACTCAGCATACTTGGGGAAGTCTCCAGATGTGAACCTAGAGCCTTCTCCAGTGGGCTAGCCTTGCAGATCACTATGTTTTAGTCCTGTACCACTGCCTAGGACATTCTTTTTTTTAAAAAATGGTATCTAAACTTTTATTCAGATGTAGATTGTTTTTCTAACTTTGTTGAATTTTTTCCTGAATTTTCTTACAGCTCATTTGTTTTTTTATGATATTTGAAGATCATTGTGTTTTTCTGAGAAAGAGATAGAGACTTTTGTTATAGGATGTCTGCGATTGCCCAAAAGACAGAGAGACAGAAAGCAAGAAATCACCACCCAAGGTGGTGGTCACACCACAATTCCTTCTCCTCCTGTCAGCTCTGAGAATCTTGGTCACAAATGCACATGCACCATGCTTGTGGTTAAACCACTGGATCCAGGACTCGAAATGTGGTCAACTATGTGTGAGTTCAGCATGTAAGCATTATGCCATCTGCTAATCCCATCATTAAAGATCATTTTAAACTGTGACATTTTATAAATTATTTTTCTTTGTAGTCTGTTACTAGAAAAATACTTTGGAGGAGTTGTGTTTCCTTGTTCATTCATATTTCTTGCATCCCTGTGTTGCAATCTGATCACCTTTTGGTATAGTCAGTTACTCTTCCCGTTTTATGGAGTAGATGTCACAGGGAAGAACGTATTGCCATCAAAGTGCCTTATAGTACTACTTGGGTAGAGTGTCTTGATGCTGGTCCTGGGTGGGTTCCGTAGTGTAGTCTCTCTCTGTTTTCTTTGGAATCGATGTGAGCCATGTTTACAAGTGCCTGTAACCAGTCTGAGTTGTTGGGGTGTGCTGCTACATCTTTGTTGAGGTGTTTCTGGGGAAGCAGCATCCAGCCAGGGCAACCTAGTAACCGCTGGTGTCAGCAGGGGTGCCCAAGCTGATTTCTTCAGATGCTGGAGTGGACACAGGCAGCATGTAGGAGCCCTGTCAGCGGAGGCTGTAGGGTCACCTGAGCTAATGCAGTGGCAGGTGTGGAGTGGGGGGTTCCCAGTGTTCTCAGACCCCAGGTGCCCATGTGAAGGCCCATCCTAAAGAGGATTGGAGGCCAATGGTACTGGCTTCATCCTGGCAGTATCCTCAGATCCTTGGCATGTAAAGATTGCCTCCACAGAGGAGGCAGGCCACCTCAGCAGGAGGGTGTCCAGGAGTCTGAAGGTGCTGCTTGCAGGGGCTAAGTATATGAGCCGATAGCTGCAGAAGGGGCTGGGGGATGGCCCGCAGTCGTCCAGGGCCCTTGGTTCTCGGTCTCTGAAGGGGCGTCCAGGGCCCTCCACCTGTGCAGGATGGTGCACTGGTTCCCCAGGTTCCAGGTGCATACTTCACGTGACTGTGGACGCTCTGTCCCTAGACGAAGGTACCTTTCAGGCTGGGGTGCAGCATCACTGCTGCCCACCGCCCTCCGCTGCCTTCCATGTAGGCATCATGGGGAGTGGAAAGTCAGAACGTGCAGGTGCAGGGGCTGTGGGCCCACATGGCAGGGCGTTACGAAGCTGCTCCCAAGGGTACCGTGCGGCTGGAGTCTGTGTCCCAGGGAGAGTGCGGACCCCGTGTGTGTTTCTTCTCTGGAGGAAGTTCCCCGTTTAGACTCTGGGCAATGGCACTGGCCTCACGACCTGTGATGACTGTGGGCTCTATTGCAGCAGGACTGCAGGCTCCCCCAGTGCAGTTGGGCCACGGGGGCTCCGCGGGCCTTTTCCTTGCAGTGAGGATCTCCCAGGCTCTGTGTGGATCCCGCCCAGTGCTTTGTGTCCCCTTCACATCCGTTCTGAGTCTTCACATCTCGGAGGCTTCTCATTATGTCCTTGCATATTCTGGTGTTCCCTCCTCACTCTTTTTATTTTTTATTTATTTATTTATTTTTGGTTTTTGAGTAGGGTGTGCACTGTTTCTCAGCTACCTTAGTCCTTCCCCATAGAAAAGAGAAATGCCGGACATTTTCCTCTTTCCATCTCCAGTAAAATTCAACTTCTAGATAAACAATGAATACTTTCTAAATATAACTGTGCCTTATACATACTATATTTTAAACAATACAGTAAGCTTTATTATATAGTGTTTAATGTAACTACACCTACAATATACTACATGTATCTGACCAGGTTTGCCAAATCCAGCAAATAAAAATACATAAAAACACCTAGTTAAATTTGAATCTCAGGTAAGTGGTGAAGAATTACTTAGTGTAAATATTTCTAAATAGTATATTTGAGGCTGTGTTTTTGCTGAATGCTAATACTAATTACTCCATTAAATACTAATAGTGTATCTTATAATTGTGTGCCAACATGTATATGGGATGTACTTTTATTGAATTCTAATGCCAGAACCTCTTCTGGAGGTCGGCAAGTGGCATGGTTGTTGAGGTGCTGGATTCCTGCATGGCTGACTGCAGTGTGAGTCCTGGACCTGACAGCTTGTTTTCTCATTTTTCTTCTTTATCTCTCTCTGTGTCTCTCTGTGCTCAAATGAAAAAAAAATTGTTTAGAAAAAACTCTTCTAAATATTAGTGATATAATATAGTCCAACAATATTTCTGGGAGATATACTAAAACATTATTCACTTCTACCTGAAATCTACATGAAGGACACTAAAGTAAAAATTCAGGAGACTCCATGGTTCCGGGACTAATCTACAGATAGCCAGAGGCACATGGTGCCAAGCCGAGCAACCAGGAGAGTGGACCTGAAAAGGGAGTGGAGGACTCCACCTCCAGAGTCCTGGGACTGAGGGTCCTCCACCCACTGAATGATGCCTGTTGAGTGTCTACCTGTCCCAGGCACTGAGGGCAGAAACACATCAGTGCATGGAACTAGCAAGTGTTTGGCCCTTAAGTAACCCACAGCAGAGAACAAAGTCAGCTCTTCCTGTAAGCATAAGTGCCTAGAAAAAAGTGAATCTGAGCCTGGAAATAGAAAGTCCCATTGTGGCAGGGAGGGACTCCCTTAGCTAGGTGGTTAGACCTACACCTCCATATCATCTCCTGATAGCTGCGGGTCCCTAGACAGTTGTATATGAGCCCTCATTGTGTGCAAAAGTTATGTATGAGAAAAGGAAAAGGAGGGCTCGAAGGGCTTATTATTCTTGTAAATTAGACACCTGTAATGATATGGATTCCCTGGTTGACTTTGCTGGCAGCTGAAATTGGCTGGCCGTTGTGGGTAATGAAGCCTCACTAATACATATATAACTCTGGAAATCACTAGGGAACGCTCCCTTGAGAGGACGTTGACATCATCTGACTCTAGGGTTGGGATGAAAGGTATCAGCACGGGTGACCTGCGCTCTAGACCCACTAGGAGGCGCCTGACATCAGGCAGAGGTTTTCAAAAGTTGAGCAGACAGGAGACACCTTGGACCCAAAGGAAGTCTTCTTTGTAATCACAATTTCAGAAATGAATCAGCTAAAAGCATACCTATTGTGTTTGCCAGGGCCTGAAAGGAAGTGAAAAGGGGGCTCTTTTGAGGTGCAAAAATGTTCTTGAATTATGTGGTGGTGATGTTGGACAACCCTCAGATATAATTAAAACTACTGCACTGGACACTTTAAAAGGGCAGATTTGGGGGCCAGCAGATGACATAGCAATTATGTCACTGGACATTCGCATGGCCAACTGTGATTCGAGTCCTGGACTCAGTGACTTGAAACTCATGCTGGACGTATGTGCATGCATGCCCAAGATCCCAGGAGGAGAATGGAGGAGAAGGGATTGCAGCGTGGACATACCCCCTGGGGGGTGATTTCTCACTTTCCCTCTCACCATCTCTGTCTCTCTCTCTGGTGAGCCCAAGATTTATAAGGATAAAACCTCTTAAAAAAGTAAATTTTAAGTTATGGGATTTATGTCCTGATAAAAAAGTAATCTAATAAAAGTGAACTGTTTGGGTTGAGGCCAGAGGGAGGAAGACCTAGAGTCTTATTTTAAAGGATCCGTCTTCTAACTTCTTTCAATGAAGATCTCACATGGCCACTTCAAACTCTAAAATCTACCTCAGGTAGACCTGGGCATGGAGCCAAAGCAAGTCCTAAAACTTAGTACAGGGCCAGCCAGTGTCTGGGGAGTAAGGCACTGGATTCCACATGGCCAGCTCCACAGTTTGAATCCCACCCCGTGTGTGTGTGTGTGTGTGTGTGAGTAAGTGAGTGTGAGTGTGTGCCCAAAATCCCAAGAGGAGAAGAGAGCAGAGATTGCAATGTGGCCATCTCCCCTAGGGGGTAACTTCTCACTTTCTCCTCTCTCTCTCTTTCTCTCTCTGGTGGGCACACACACACCCTTTAGCAAATTAAAAGTAACTTAGTATGAAATATGAGTAGGGATTAATTTTTCAAAAGAGACACAGAAAATTTTCACCATCCCTACCACAAGTTAGAAAGATGTTCTCCTATGTATGTAGGACAAATGGGTATGTTGAGACAGGTGCCATCTGATTAGTGGTCAGGGTCACAGGTCAAGGACACTGCCAGTTTTTATGTTTTTAATATTTTTGCCGTAAGGTACATGCACTTGCTAGAGAGATACAGAGAGAAAGGGAAAACAAGAAATCACCCCTCAGGGGGATAGCAATCGCTTTTTCTCCATTCTCCTTTTAAGACTTTGGGTACACATGCACACGTGCCTGTGGGATCTTTTTCTTTTTCTTTTTCTTTTTTTTCAGTTTTGGGACATTAGTACATGCACTCTCCAGAGAGATACTGAAAGAAGGAAATGGGAACGTGAGAAATCAGCCCCCAGTGGAAGGGCCACTTCACAATCCTTTCTCCTTCATTCTCTTCTTGGGATTTCGGGCATGCACACGCATGGGTCTGGTGCAATTTTCTAGTCTTCAGGGCTGGAACTTGAACCACAGTTGGCCATGTGGGAGTCCAGGGCCTCAACCACCATGCCACTCGTTGGCCCCCTGTGTGGTTTTCAAGGCATCAGGTCTGGGGCTTGAACTGAGAAGTCAGCCATGTGGAATGCAGTGACTTGACCACCACACTACACGGCTGGCCCACACTGAGGTTTTACCTCACAGCCACTCGACTGTAAAACACTTAGAAATCTGATGAGATCGGGGTGGAGACAATGTGGCTCACAGCCTCTCTTCCACGTTGCTGGTGAAGTGTAAGGTGCTGAGATTTGGGAAACGGTTTGGAATCTTCTACTTTGTTTGGATATCCTCATACACTGTGATCCAACCTCTGTCCACCTGGGGATGCCCCCTAGAGACACCCCAGCACATGGGCAGTAGAAAACAGTAAAAGAATGTGATAGCAGCGCTGTACAGAGGAACCAAAACCACACCGGAGAAGCCTGTCTGCACTGTTCTGCGTTAACACAATGGAATACTATAGAGGGGTGCAGAACTCCAAATATAATAGAAGGTCAGTTTTTTAGTGTGTGGATATACCATAGATTGTTTCTCCATTCACCTAGGGATGATGAACACTTTGAGTTATTTCCAGTTTGTTGTGAACAAAACTTGTGCATATTCATTACAAGTCTGTGTGTGGACATTGGTTTTTCTTCTCTCCATGGTAAATAATTGCTAGAACCAGGACTAAGTCCTGGGTTACTGATCGGTATTTTATAATGACAAAACTCACCATATCTGAACATGTAATTTCCACAAAGAAAGCTAGGATCATCAAAAACTCAAGGAAATATGTTTGGGTTCTGGAGAAATCAGAGCTGTGCTTAAGAAAGGTTCAATCGGACCCTTATTTAC